GCGCCCCGATGCAACTTACTGTTCAACGCCCTTAAAAACATTTTTGTAAAAAAACAACAAATAAAGTTTTGTAATCACATATTTTTGTAGAGAGATACTGTTTATTAACAAACATGCATAAAATTATGATGAATCAATCTTAATATGTATATAAAAGTGTTTGTCTTAACTGACAGACTGACTGATTCATCAACGCAAATCCTAAACTACTGCAGCTACAAACATGAAATTTGGACAGTTGGTTCATTTTCTGTCATAAGCACCCATTAACAAAAGATTTCTGGAAATTCCGTCCCTACGGGGACAAAATAGGGGATGAAACTTTGTGCAGAAATCCCGTGAGTTTTTAAGTCAGACGGGTTCACTGGGGCCCTGAAGGAGTGAACGAGATGAAAAATGATAATTTCGGAGATTTTCACGGTCGGAATCAATACATGATCGTTTTCCGGGTTGGAACTGTGTACTTTCTCAAAAAGGTTTCGCCTCTGGTATGGTTGACATACTGAGTTACCGTGCTCTTTTGCCTTATACTTAACCCTGCTCCTGAAGATGCCACTTACGAAAGTGTGCGAAACGTTGAGCCCAAAAACTCAATTTACACGTTTACAACCCGGAAAACGATCATGTTTGAAAAATGATGAGTCCTAATTGCCAATTCCACGCAAACGGAGCTGCAGGCAAAAACTTTTCTATAGTTTAGGAAATATCGTTGTACCCTATAAAATTTTATTGACGATAACGAGGCGGACAGTAGTACAATAGCAAGAGATATTTACAACTTAAAGTTGTCGCGTGGCGGTAATCCGCAGACCTTAAATTTGCGTACAATTACCTGCTAAATGTTCTCCGACAAATTCGGGGGGATTGATGGCCATAAATATTTCTTACCATTGTACTACTGTCCGCTTCGTTATTGTCAATAAAATTTTATAGGGCACAACGATATTTCCTAAACTATACATAGTATAAGTATAAAAATATTTATATTGCAAACGTTTTTCAATTTTTATTATTGTAAAATTGATACGATTTCAAAGTTATTTTTAATTTAGACTTACCTCAATGTTAATCGAAATTTAAATTTAAAATTAATGATGACAAGAAGCCACGAAATGATACACAGAACCAAATTCGGCTACAAACAGGAACAGTGAAAAATATAGCAAAACTGTTGAACAATCACCACAACCAAAACCAACCGACTAGACTTGGAAAATAAAATTTTTAAGTATGCCGACATGGACTTTTATGGTAAAAATAAACGTGACAAATGTTAAGAAAAACATCTGGTTGTGATCATACCGCTGTCTCGTCAAATTGTTACCAAGATAATGCATCATAAATCTGGTTATTTTTTGTCGGTATTGATCTCAAGGTCCCATCACCCAACCCAAAGGCGTACTCTTTTTCAATTATTACAGTTTGATAGTGCCAGGAATTGACTTCTTGGGATCTGTTTTGGTGGTCATAGTGGAATGTTAAAATGTATGTTTGTCTGAAAAGTTTTCGATGGGCACCTTGGTCTGTTACTGCTATAATATTTTGTTGGTGGTGATTCAATGCAAATCTAACATTAATTTATTTTTATAGAGTTAATACATATAAAAGCATAGGCGGCGCCCGCCGCCCGGCGCCCCTTGTCACGGGCGCCCCGATGCGGTGCATCTTTCGCTTACCGTGTTGAGCCGGCCCTGCCTGCGGTACACCAGATGTCTGTGGAAACTGACGTGAGGAGCAACTTTTACAAAATACATACTGATATCTGTTGCTTAGATAAGATTGAAAGACATTTAGCAAACCGTCGGAAAAGCCAAAACTCTCCAGTTTTTGCAGTAGAATACGATGATCAATACGATCAAAAGCCTTGCTAAAATCCAAATACTTAAATGCAATCAACTTGAAGATGTTTGTCAAACATTTCAGAGATATATTGTGTCTTGATCATCAAATCCGTGACAGTCGACCTTCCTTTAATGAAACCATGCTGCATTGGTGACAAGTGTTGCGAAACATGCATTATTATTATTATTATTATTATTATTATTATTCTTATATATTCGACAGGGCGAACCCCATTTATGGAATATATTTCTGTTTGATTCAGACCGATTCAAACTTTAATTTCTTAATGGTATACATATTTGTATTAAAAATATCTACCTGACGGTTAAGCCAGTTACCTATGTAACACAATCTGTACACTGGTGAAAACTTCAGAACATTCGTTCTAGGTGTTGGTAACGCAAATAACTCCGGTTTTCTAGATATAAGTAATCTAGGACTTCCATTAAAACATATTCTTCTCAATATGTCATGACAATCGAATCTGTTATTAACAAGCTTATAAATAGTGACTGCCAAAAATAATTTATTACGGTTTTCTAATGCTGTCATAGAATATCTCTCCAAAAGTATAATTTGTGGAAATCCAACCGGAGGATACGTTCTCTCCTCTCTAAAATACAGATATTTAAGGAACCTACGCTGCACCTTTTCAATATTGTTTATATGTATATTATAGTAAGGGAACCACACCACATTTGCGTATTCCATTTTGGTTCTAACCAGTGCAATAAAAAGTGAAATTAACGTCTTTGTATTCACAAAATCCTTTGAATTTCTGAGTATGTAACCAAGAGACCTAAAGCACGCAGAGACTACATAATCGAAGTGAGCATTAAAAGACAATTTACTGTCAAACTTAACTCCTAAGTCATGAACAATGTTCGGTCTAGAGACTAACTCACCTAATATGCTGTAATCAAAATAGATAGAATTTTTCATTTTAGAGAAGGACATAACGTAGCATTTTGTTTTATTGACTGGCAATTCATTAACTTTGCACCAATTTAAGACTTGATTTAGGTTGCCATGTAACTTTACACAATCTGCCGATGACTTCACTTTTGTGAATATTTTTAAATCGTCCGCATATAGTAAATAATCAACATTCAGAATGTGACTTATATCATTGATAAACACGGAAAATAGAAGTGGCCCCAGCACCGACCCCTGTGGCACTCCAGAAGTTGGAAATACATCCTTTGATGAGCATCCAGTGCAATAGACAAACTGTTTCCTAGCACAAAGATAAGAGTGAAAAACCTTAAGTAGTGCTGGTGAGAATCCAATGACACCAAGTTTATACAACAAAATATTGTGACTTATTTTGTCAAAGGCTTTCGAAAAGTCCATGTAAATGACGTCCGTCTGACCGGCCTCATCAATTGACTCACTTAGGAATTGAGTTAAAGACACTAAATTTGTCACTGTAGACCTGCCATGCATAAATCCATGTTGGTTTTCAGAAATATTACTTTTTAAGTGAAAATAAATGTTATTAAAAATCACCATTTCAAAGATTTTAGCGAAGTTATTTATTAAAGCAATTGGTATGCTGGTATTGCATAATCGAACACTCTGAAATCTTGCAAAAGTTGCAAGATTATTGTAAGCGTGATAAATCGTTAATCAAATCTTTTTCAGTTGTGATCTCCTCAAAAAATTCATGACGGATCTCAAAGTTTTTCCCAATAAATTCTATCGAAAATACGCAAAATATGAGTCCATTCTTGTGATTTATCATTGCATTCAATTTGTTTAGAATTACTCATTCAATTAATGAATGAGTCAATTTATTTTATTGATTAAATCAGGAACTGCAAAACCAAATACTTTGAAATCTCGCAGACGTTTGAAAGTTATATCTATCTCTCTCAAAAAAAAAAAAAAAATTATGACGTTACTCAAACTTTTACCAAATAAATCGAAAATGTGCAAAATATGATGAGTAGAACCAGTGAATTATTGTTGCATTCATATTTTTTAGAATTGCTTATACAGGGTGACTCAAAAAAATTGAATGAGTCAATTTATTTTGTTAATTAAATTTATTTTCCCGAAAATTTGGGAATACAATATATACCTAGTATTATTATTAGTAATATACTGCACCAGCACCTATCCAAAATGTGTATCTTTGGGAAAATGTTGATGATGTCATCGTCATCATAAAATTTTGTAAAGGAAGAACTCCTTTGAAACAAATGCGTAGCACGCTTCTTTACATTTACATACTTACATATCCTTACTTTAGCTTACAGGGGTTCCCATAAAAATAAAATTCACAAAATCAAATTTTATAATTTTTAAAAAAAGCTGGATACGTTTTATTCTACATATTTCATGTTTCACATATTTCTGCTTAGTTTTTTCTTATTTTAGAATATGTATCGGACAAAGTTTCTTACAGACTATACTTTTTTATTTTCTGGGAGATAGCTTAGCAAAATATTATGATGAATGTTTTCCATTTTATTTGTTACAAACATGTAGAGCTTCCGTTTTCGTTTATCTATCGTCTGCATTTCGTGCGTGTTTTGATAATCAGCTGTTGGCGATTTTATTGGATAAATAATCTTAAAAACTAACAAACAGTGAAACTTTAAGTGTATTTGAAATTTTCGCCAAGAAAATAAAACACGACCCAAAATTTGTCAATCATAAAAATTAATGGTATTATATCGCATGCTTAAATAAAATAATTTCTTTTTTTTTTAACTTGACATATAGGATTTCTTCCAAATAAAATCCATGCGATTAAATTTTTTATTTGATCTTAAAAATTGCATTTTTGCGGTACCAACAAGATTACAGAAACACGATTATAATATCGTTTTAAATCTCCAGAAAGCCGACATCGTTAAAAATATATTAAATGGGTTTTTATTGAAAAATTCACACTGAGATGTGGTTCTATTTGTACTTTAGTAATATAAAATAGCAATTTAAAATGTAAAGTGTGCAAACGTTTTGTTTTTGCACAAAATCTAACTCAACAGTCACCCAACATTTAGTGTTTTTATGTTTTTGTAGAAAACAAGCACGTTTGTTATTCATCCACCTACCCATTGAATGCAAATAACAACCTACTTAAATTCATCTAACCAAATTTCAAAAAAGGAAACAGGTAAATGCATTAATAATTACACAATTACTATCGTCATCGCAACGCGTCCCACCAAAGCACGAGAATCGACTAGACTTCGTAGCTAGTTCGTTGTCAATGTTGTGACTTCTTCATAGCGCGACAGGTCCGCGGAAAATCTTCTGAAATGGTGCTCTGAAACATAAACAAGTGGTTGTTCACATGCTCAAAAAACAGTCCCAGTTGTGTTAGTGAAGTTAGTGTTTTTTTGTGGCAACAATATTAGGTCATCTAAACAGGGTGAGTGATGAAAATCTGTCGCGAAAATTGCGCTGAATTATCACTTCATTATCTTCAACAATGGTATCATTTTGTTGCATGTTTTTAGAACGAACTGTACTCATTATTGTGCTGATCTAATAAAACAAGTGGATCATTTAGAGATCCGGTCCAGCGGCCACCGCCTCACCATGCAACACAATTAAAGTCCGGTCTTACTTCCTCTTTTTTTTGTAAAATTGAGCGAAAGTTGTATCTGTATTCGCCATAATGTGAGCCCTGACCGAATAATACCGTCAAGAAGATGGAAAAGTTTGCTTAGTCATAACTAAAGATGATTTTTGGTTAGTTTTACGCTATATTATGTTGTTTTGAGGGAAGAATGTCTCAAATTAAGAGCGAATTACGCTTATTAGGTTCATGCTGTGATTATAGGCTATTGTGGTGCTTATTAGGGTTTCTATTAATTGATTTTACATAAATCACCAAGGTCTTGTTATAGTCATGTGACACCCGTATTTACTTTTTATGATGACGGATACTGAATCGGATGCTCTTTCAAAATATAAGCTTGAGATCGTTTTCAAATTTCGTAAGACCGTGATGTAACCAATTGATTTAACTTTATAAAATTGTATAGGTAACAACCAACGTATGTTTTATTGTTTTTTTTTAATTATGTTGATAGGAAAATTTATCGTGTCATATTTTTTCAGTTAAAAACATGAGGTGTATACTTATATACTGCGCAGATGGATAGTTTATGTCAAAGTCTGGATATAATCATACGTCATTATTTCAAAAGTAGGTAACGTAGCTTATGGCTTATATTTCATAACATCTTGATACATTCGACACATGGGTTCAGTAAACGAAAAAGGTTTATGCAATTATTGCACATGGGGTTTTAGATCGTACTACCTATTACTTTCAGCAGTGAGTAAAAAACTGTAAACACAATAAAATTATTCCTTGTTAATGTTATTGACATAATTAAAAAAAAATTCAAGATAAAATTTCATTCTCCTTATTATGTACGTGAGTATCGATTTTTGAAAGATCGTGTTTAACATTATAAAGTTCCACATAACGTGCGAATAAAAGAAAATGAAAAATCAAATTTCAAATTTTATCTATAACATATCGTAGTCCTAATGTCCTTTCATAAAAAATATGTTGTACTACGTGCACGTACAGGTGTTTGTTTTTCACATGAAATCGGTTCTACGAATGTTATTCATCCACCTACATGGCGCTTTACCACCAGTAGTGTTAATTTTCGTCTTAGCAAGACTTGATGAATATGCCTGTCTAGGTTAACTAAAAAACGTCTTATAAGTCTATTACAAATATAATAGCTACCTGCAGTTTAAAACAGTGTTCGTAGTTCCGGCAATAAATATTATTGTTCTCGACTGTGTTGTATCGTCACACCATCGTCTTTATGTGTCATTTTTTAATTATTTATTTGTAAAAAACACAAAAGAGTTACTCGGTATATCCAAAGTAGGTAGGTGAGAGATTCCTGCTTTTGATATATTTAATAATAATCTTAACAGAAAATAGCATCATTATCGCAAAATAGATGTATTTGTTTTCAAGCTTAATAAAAAGTAACGCTAATATATATTATCGTTAGTGTTCTTAGAATTTCGGGGACATTAGCTACATTGTTTCTAAATAATTCATAAAACAAATCACCTCAGTCCTATCATTTTTAGTCGAACGTAAGGTAGGTCTATTTGAAGACGTTTCGTGGCTAACAGCCTAGAATGTAAACAAATAGGCCAACCGCTGCCTTGTGTCTATCACAGTCTATCGTATGTCGTTTATTTTCGCTTTATATCTATTAAAATATAATAAACAGATAGATAATACTCTGATTTTTGTGAAAACTTAGATGTATTTTAAGAATATCATGTACATGATAAAATATTAACCAGAACTTGATTGATTATTATCCTTACGAACAATTTGACGTCGTTTTTAATCTTATGTGTGTAAGTTCACGGTAAAAAAGCACTGACTTAGAAACTGCAATACCAAATGCTTTGAAATCTTGCAAACATTTTAAAGTATCGTAAGAATGATAAATCGTTGATGAAAATGTATCTATTTATTTCCTCTAACAAATTTTATGGCGTCATATCAAATAATTATCAGTAAAAATATTATACGGGTTTATATATACATTCATATTAACATAAGGTATTTTTACATACATAGGGTGAATCAAATTCAAAATAAACCAATGAAGGCAATTTATTTTATTAATCAAATCAAGAATGGCTCACCTCATTTTCCCCAAAATTTGGGAATATAGTAGTTTTATTATTAGTATCGATTACAATGTACCTATCTAAATTGATCTAGTGCCCTATAAATCTGATAACGTTTTAATAAAAAAATAAAATTCGCATTTTTTTTTTATTTATCTACGAAACAGAATTCTGTCTTATCCAACTTCGGAGTTCAGACCATTAAAAATAATTTAAGTACAATTTTTTAATTTGTTTAGCAATTTAGTATGTAATTAGATTCTTCATTTTTATGTTAATTTGTTCTCAAGAAGTTTACACAAGTGAGGTACACAATAAGTAAATGAAATGAGACGACACTTTTTTATTTATCGATACTTTACGTAAAAATCGGTAATTAGACCTGGATGACAGCTAATTAACCACTTTTTACTTTCCAAACGTTAGCTAAGGAAGTACAGTAATCGATCCTATCGGACGAATTGCTACTTTCATATTTTCTCGACGTTGCATGATCCAGATGAGTACGAAAAAAGTGATCTCCCGTTTCTGACTGTCCCATCCCCACCAACAACTTGATGACGTTATTTCAAAGAATTCTATTTTTAAAATTATTTAAATGTTATACAAGAATATACTCCTATACTTGTGGTGTACGAATAAGTTTTGCGTTTTTTCCCTAAACGTCCAAATTTTCGCAAAATCATTTGCGAAGTATAATAACATTTTACTACTAACACAGAAGCTGTTAGAAAAAAAAATATATAGAACGAGTCACCCCATTTTGCCAAAAATGTGAGAATACGCACCTCTTTACTTAATAATGATAAAATTAGCATTATAATAATAATATTCAGACACTTTGTTCGATTATTATAGTTTAGTTAATAATAATTTTAGTACTGTTTTTAGGAGCTCATTCAAATGAAACAGATTTCTGTGTGTGACATTCTTTCGCTGTATAACAAAAATACTTGAAGTTAAGTATGTTATTTTACTGAGATGACTTTTTTTCTCCTTGGTTATAATTTTTTGAAGAAACGGGGTTTCGACTGTATTTCAGGCACCGAGGGACGTTTTATCGAGATAAACTTTAACGAATTTTTGCTTCTCGAGCGTAAGCTAAGGAAGTATTCTAATCAAGTCCATCGGGTGACGCGCTACTTTATGTTGCCTCGACGTTTCATGACCCCTAGAATACGAAAACATAGGTCTCTCGTTTCCGTCTATCTGCTTTCTACCGTCTGCCGTGTGCTGTGAGTCGTTTGTCGTCTATCCACATCTGTGTCGATTTTTATTAGACAGATAAATAATCATCTCACCAATTGTTGTCAAATTTGTATGTATATTAGGAATATCGTGTATATGGTAAAACCCTAACCAAAATTTGCTTGATCTCCCCACCAACGGTGATACGCAACTTTTATAGTAGTACATGTTAATTAAATTTTATAAAATAACATACTTCTCCACTTGTACGAAATTTTCGACCCAACCGATAAAATTAGAAATGTTTACTGTAATAACGCGCATGTAACACGTTTTCATTGATACTATTGATACGATAAACCTTTGAATAGTCATTTTCGTTGATTCCCTGTGAAAGTCTCTCTAATCCCTTAAAACTGGCATATGGTGGCGTTTACATCGGGAGGGAAAGAAATCTGAAATGCCGGCTGAATATCTGACTATTTGACACAATTTGACATATCGGATAACCACTAATAATGTAACGACATAGGGTGATTTGAATTTTATGCTATCCCACATATAAAAGCAGTACTTTTCGAACATTTTGGTAATATTCTCAATTCAGGCACCGTGATTCAGACACATCAAACTTTGTTCTAGCACAGTGACGAAAGGGATTTCAGGTTCCGTAACTTCCGGATTGAGACACATCTTTTAATATTTTTCTCTCTGACAAGTTGGACGATTATAACCACGATGTTACCAATTGGAGAGACTTTAATAGTGAATCAACGAAGACGACGCTTTGAATATAACTCGCGTATTAGCGATTTAAATCGTCTCAGACGCTCTCTATGTGACTCGGCTGCGCCTCGCCTCCTGACAACGTCCTCAACTACATATAAATCGCATAATATTCTCGTTATATTAATAGCTATTAGGCAACATTTTTGTGAAATTAACGTTTATTGAAAAAATATACTTTTTCATTAACAAAGTAATATGAAATTTGTGATAGTTATGTAACAAAATTTTATTTGGAAAAAACTCGACATGTTGGGAAAAAACTCGACATATTGAGTTTAAATTCGACATATTGAAAAAAAGCTCGACATGCTGAAAAAAAAATTGACATGTTCAGAAAAAGTCGACATTTGAAAAAAAATCAACAGTCAAGTAAAAACTAAATTGCATCCATAACAGACTACGCTTCGGGAATGAGGAACTTTTTTACTTTACAAGCGTAAACTAAGGAAATATTGTAATAGAGTCCGTCTCAAATAGGTACGTTCATGACTCGTAGAATCTGTCTGTCTGTCTGTCTGAATCTATATTGGTATAGTAGCCTGCATAGATATTGTAGCCGTCCATAGAGTCGAAATTTGCGATTAAAAATAAAATAAAACCGGTTCAAACGGAGCCGACGATGGCTTGGAAAGTCTGACATCACTCTGGCACACGTTGCACAGAGACGTATTTAATATTAAATGTCATTTTTTCCGTTATGATATAATCTGTTTAATTTCTGAGCTGAATCTCGTCAATAAAATCGAAGCTCTGTTCACTGTACAC